AGTAAAAAAATTTTCGTTTAGACTTTTCGTAGGTATGAGTATTGCAACACTTATATGTTATCATACGTACCAGAAATAGAATTCATTACTTCATGAAAATATTTTCTTAATAGTATAATAATGAATAGTAGATATTGACTTTATAAGATATAGAAAACAGTTGTAGTTCTATTTATGTTTGTTGAGTTTTATTTTGTAGGACGGCCACTCTTATAAAATTAAAAGAACCGGATTCTGCATTTTGAAACCTTCGAAGTCGAATGGAATGATTTTTTTCAGATCATATCTTTACGAAAATGATAAAATTCATTTCACATCTAAAAACTGAGACTCACATTTAATTTACAGTCCTATTTCTTATCATCTCGTTCATGAACTCGCAAAATTCTCCATCCCAAATTGGTCAAAATATAATTGTAGCAATAGAAAATTCTACTCATACTTACGGACAACCAAAAGTTCTGATAACATGACATAAGAATAGAAAAATGAAGAGATAGTTCTATTTAATTTTATCAAATGTTACAAATAGTTGATATTATTATATTAACAAGGTTCAATCATTTCTATGGGTTTGGTATTAACGATGGCGAATTTTTTTTCTAAAGTATTTTTAATCCTTTTGGAAACCGATAGGGTTAATCATCTTTCGTTTGTTTGCCTAACAGAATTATGCATGATATATTTAATCATCGGAAAGAGGGTGTGTGTGTATGAGTATTAGTGAAGTGAGCTCCACAGTATTATCTTTATCTACGAACACCTCATATTTTGCTGTAATTAGGAAATTTTATATTTATCGTCTTTTTTTGTTTCTTTCTCGACAATAAAATATTATTCTCCTGTTTCAATAGCAATAACGCGTAAGAAAAGATGCAAATACTACTGTCGAATAGGAAAGAAAAAAACACTTGCTATTAAAAAAAGTAGGCGGTAAATAGTAAAGAAATGCGATGCATAGCATCTCTATCGATGACGATGTCATTTTCATCATCAGCGATAAAGCACTCATAAGTAATAATTCTTGAATTTTGACTTGTTGATAACTAAAACTCAACAAAAGTTTCAATGACAATAGATTTTCTTAATTTTCAGTACGACGATCACGTTTCACAGTACAACAGTAAGCATCGACAAGACGGATACTGGCCAAGATGTCGTTACAATACCTCGTTCTTATCAAATACAGTAGCTTATCAAAAGAAAAACTATATCATTCTAAGCTAATTTGTTTCCATATATACTGAACTAATTGAACAAGCTAAGCAAGAGAATTGAGTTAATTGTCTGCCCACTGATAATGGGAAAACTTAGATAGCTGTAATGCTTATCAAAGAAATGGCACATAGAATTCGTGCGAGTATCAAAGATAGAGGTAAACGAACTGTATTTCTTCTTAAAATAGGTTTGAAATGCAATTGAGTCTGTTTATGATGATCGAGTTCTTTTCGTTTAAGTTGTACTTGTTCAACAACAAAGTGATTATATTCGTATTCATACGGATTTAAATGTTAGTAAACATTATGGTGAATCGGGTGTTGATTTATGGCAAAAATGAACAATGAATCAACGAATTTGAACATCATCAAGTACCCGTATTCACTGTTCAAGTCTTTCTCAATCTAGTCGATCACAATTATATTCGTATGTCATTGATATGAACTCAAAATTTGAAAATATCGTAAAGAATTTCAGCCTTGAATAAGTTAATTTATTAATTTTCGATGAATGTCATCATTCTACAGGAGAAAACTGTTATACAGCATTGATAAAAAGACATTATGATTCATGTCACGATCTACGACGTTTACTAGGGTTAACAGCTTCGATAGGTACTAAAGATGTCACACCATACCAATTGAATTCCGTTGGTTATTTTATTTATTTCAAGAGCTGGGATTACGAGTGGTTCAAATCGACAAGAAAGTAATTGATTTGGTACATCAGTTCAAGTCAAGCATATCTATTATTTGCCATATAAAGACCAGATGTACTTGCATAACGAGAGTATCATGGTGGCATTTTATTTAAGATTCTTATGTTTTGAATAGCAATATCTTTATTTACGAACGATATTTAGTTAATTGAATCGATCTTACTTGATCTACAATCATATTTGAGTGAGCAAAAAACAGAACACGAAAAGATTGAACATGGTCTTGTCGAAGTAATTCTCATTACTGACTATCTGGGTCTGAATCTCGACGAATGCAATGCTCGTTCAGTAGACTATACATTATTTCTCCAATTAGAATATGTTAATCTGCCTCGACTCAAACATTCATTATCTTAGTAATTTTATATATACGGGCTATGAACTTGATATTTACGATCTCTTTGTAGCAGCTGAAGCACTGCAAAGAGGATGGGTGTGAGTGTGAATTTTGTTCTCTTTTCGCATCCACACCCTCAGACCACTTTATGAAAATATAGTTGAGATATTCAGACTTTTTCTTTCGGAATAAGATTTGTGGACCATCCTCGATATTTCATCAGCTATTTCTGTTGTGTCTTATATAATTTCATTATTTCTTGTTGATTTCCTTTTTTTTTCTTCTCTTCAGCTGCAGCTGAGAGAAGATATATGTAACTGTGCGTGTTTTTTTTCCAAAACGATAATGTACGAATTGGTTCTCTTTTTACACTTGTTTCTCCTCCTTCCAAAGAGTGTTCTGATGGAATAAATTTATTTTCTCTCTTTCATATTACGTACACACATACTTATTTGCTTTTTGTCCTGTAATGTTGAATTAGTCGTTATTCAGATATTACAGTTATTATTCTCTCGTTGCCGTATTTGGTACCGAGAGAAGCACATGCACCAAGACTCTCCGTGGGATGAGATGGAATAGAAAAATGGTCCCATGGTGACTAATTATACAAAATATTATACTACTGAAAGCTATCCGAAACTACTGGTGTAGATACTTTATTTGAGTGTGAGTCTGAGTCAAGTTAAGAACACATGCACACCCTCATTTTCGTATGAGATCAAAATATGACCATTGTATATCTGAAGTACAACGTAAGTACGCGAGTATGTCGGGAGTCTAGGAGCATTTCTTCTATCGTTGTTGAACGACAATTTGTGTACCCAATAGATCACCTAGGATTGCATGGAGTAGTCGAGAGTATGATTCAAGGAGGAAACGATGTACTCGCGTACTCAGAGAATACTGAAAATACAGATAGTACGGGATATGTTATTTCCACCTTGCCTTTCTCTCACTCTTGTGTATTCGAATTAACAAAAAGGATTTTTTTATACATCTTTCACTAAATATTATTGAACGAGACGCTTGACTTGCGATTGAATGTTCCATCGAAGCTTAGAAAGTTGTTATATTTTATTGATTTTAGCATGTAATAGGAAGTCATTCATTGCTTAGCAAAGTGACCAAATTCCATCTTTGTTTTCAACAAAGATTTTGATCTTGAATGGCTACCATGTCTTTCGATGCTTATTAATCTCTAGCAACTCGTTCAAATTGAACTAAAAAGAGATAATTAAGAAAACTATAATCTTCATACATTCAATAAACTTACCACGTTCATTCAACAACCACTGAATGTTTCACCATTAATATTAATTCTATTTTCTACAAGAAAAAAGTAGTACTATTGTACAGACCATTTGTTCAATCATTCCATATCGCGTAAAACATCTAGAAATATATTTAAATAATTTTGATCGAATGAAAGTAATTTTTAAACAATTCGAATATTTGTCAAGCGTGAAATTGAATACCTCACGTTCGAAATTGTCTGAAGAGATCGTCAGTTGGCTCGAAGAGTACGCAACATAACTCTTTTCATATGGCTTGGAAAGAAAAGGATGTTGCCGAATTTGATCGAAAGCGGCTACGACTAAGGGATAGTCATCATGACTTATATTATGTTTGATATCTTGTTACCATGTTCATTGCAAAATCCAGAATATTCATTAAAGTTTACTTAACTTGGGAGTACATAACTTCAAACAATATGATTTTTAAAACCAAAGCTCTTAGAATCGTTTCAAAAAAGAAAAATATAAACATAAACTTCTCAATGAAACTGGAGCTTTTCAAATGGGAATAAAGAAGACCTCACAGCAACACTAATTTTCTGACTTTTTATAATCGTGGGTGTGAATGAAACTAGGACCGGCTCACACCCTTCGCAAACGTTCAAATTCAGTTTCAATTGAAAAAAGAATATGACAGTAAAAAAAATAGCTTCGAAATAAAAGATTCAACCTTGATTTGACGAAACAAGAAACCCAACTAACAAAATTTGTGATTGTTACATCAGTTTTTTATTCTCCAGAGAATTTCTCTAATATTCAACAAATCCAAATGAATTGTGGATTAGATTGAATATTTTGACGATTTCGAAAACCAAGTTTTATTCATTAACCTAAGAAACCGAACAACCACAGTTCAGATTAGCGCATTTTGAGACATTATTTTGTTTCTTTTGTATTCCAATTCAAAGTCGACTAATTTCATTTATTTACTTCTGATGAAATGTAATAATTTGCAGAACAAGACTAAAAAACTGCTGTTTGTGACTGACAGAAAACTAAGTTACTTTTCGTAATTTCAATTAATCAACTATTAACATTACAATTCCTCATGTTGAATATATCTTCCGATAAAAATGTGTTTGAATGCTTCAACTTGTCATCACTTGAGTCTTTTGGAATTAGAAAAAATAAATTCTTATATCACTTTCAGAATGTTAAAACAAAATGTGGATGTGGGATGTTGACGCTCTCTTGGCATTACTTCTACTCCAACACCGACTCTCCACCGTTGGAATCGATGATAGAATAAAAAAGAAACAAACTCGAACAAATTAAACTAATTGTTAATGATGACTAGAATATGATTCATACTGACAGAAGCAATCTTTTTTTTAAACATTTAACTTGTCTAACAACTATTTTTTATTAATCAAGAATAGTAACAAGAAAACATATGAAAAAAAATATAACAAATGAACAATTCTTGAATTTTTTATAATATTTTTTGTATGATAAAGTCAATAGCAGTTACTATAGATACAATGATGCTTAGAGGATAAACAATCGATTTCAAAGCATGATTTTGTTTAACTGTATTATCATTTTCAATCTTGAACTTTTGCTCAAGGACAAAACTTTTTTCTGCTATTGCAGTTAGTTTTTCGTTCGTACGTGTCAATATTGTTTCATTATCATGTAGTTTTTGTTCAGCAGCCAATAATTGAAATTCCATATTAACTATTTTTTCGTCCATACGTGTTAATATTGTTTCATTATCATATAGTTTTTGTTCAGCAGCCAATAATTGAAATTTCATATTAACTATTTTTTCGTCCATACGTGTCAATATTTTTTCATTATCCCCTAGTTTTTGTTCCATAGCAGCTAATCGAAAATCCATATCAGCTAGTTTTTGGCCTACAGCATATAAATTCGATTTATAGTTTCTGGAAATTTTTTTCATTTAGATTGAATAAAACTATACCATTTACGAATAATTCTGTCAGATATGACAGTGAATATTTATTACTTACTCATTTGATTCAATGACAGCTGATTTTCATGATATATATTGATTAAATCATTTAGTACAGGTTCAAGTTGATCATCAATTGATTGTTTGTGATTAACTAATATATTCTTAAAACATTGAAATATCATTCGTTTTGATATTTATAAAAGAAGAAGATAGAACAACTGGCAATACCGACAGTTATTGTAAAAACTATTCAGACATCATATAGAACGAAGTTGTTCTGTATCATTCAGAAAAGACTAACATTATTTTGTGTACAAGTTTCAAATAAGACCAGTATGAATGGTAAAATTATTTTAATGAAAATTTACAAACTTTGTATTTCCTACTTTCGATTGTAAAATACTCTTACCTTCACACACCTTCTTCACTTAGAAGTATACAATTTTCGAAAATTCTCTTACTTTTTGTTGATAACGACACATGTTTCCGTATATTCAGATAAATTTTCGAATGATTTAAATTATTGTCTAGGAAAAAAAATAGTAGTATATATATACATAGATGTATTGTAAATAGTTAACCAATAGAACACAATAACATTAGTCAATGCATCGATCAACGGCTGCATTTGAACGCAGTGTTACTTTTTTCGTCTATCAGTGATGACGGTTGACATTGTCTGCAACCGTAACGACGATTCCTCCGATTCGCTTACACTGCTAAAAAGATACGAGTAATGGATAATAAAGGATATATACAACTGTCAAATCAAATTCAATAAGATATAAGAGGTAATTAATAAATAAATTCTTGTTGAATGGTGGAAGCCAAAGAAATTTATGAAATACATATCGATGGACACTGATAAAATCTGTTGAAATTCGATAATGATTTATGCAATGATAACTGAAGATTTTGTCTTCGAGCTAAAGAGACATTGTTGCACCTGGGTATTCTTATCATACAAAACAAAAGTTTGTGTATGCGCTTTTTTATTATCTCTCACAATCATAGACATGCTAAACTGATACTTCAGCCGAAGTATCTTAATTTTATTCTGAGTGCTACTATAATCTATGGCAATTAGTTCAGATCTTTAAAACTTTATCGGAGTGACTCATATGAAATAATCACAAATAAATGATAGTGTTGTGGAATTTTGTAAAGATGGACATACTTAATACAAATCCATATATGTAATCATGATGAAAACAACAGAAAACCAAGCTCTTATGTTCTTTTTTACCGAAAATTAAACCGTTGCGACATCTAGCATATGAATATCCAGTAATATGCGATACTTTGAATCCAAACAATCTCTTACCACAAGCTGTTCTTCTGCAGTATCAATTTGCCATAAAAAATAATTATACCCAGGTCAAAAAATCGGACATAAGATCTTGTTGATCATACGAAATCTTGCAAAAATAGTACAAAAAATCGTGGTTCATGCAATCTTATACTAAGTCGTACTATAACAACCATCCAAGATCTTACTGTCACATAAGATTTCCTATAATCTTATAGTAAAATCTTACCGAACAACAAGATCTTTGATGGATCTTATAGTACGACTTAGTATAAGATTGCATGAACCACGATTTTTTGTACGATTTTCGTCTGATCTTACAAGATCATATAAGATCAGACGTAGGATCTTATAAGATCTTACTGTCTAATTTGTCGACCTGGGTACTCTTTGAGTATTTGTATATGTAAAGTATGTGTTATATTCGTTATTATTCGATGTGAGCAAGAGACTTTTTTAATCAAAAAAGTACATACAAAGTTCGACTAATGAAAACTTGACATTAGAACTAAATTGATACATCTGAAAAAAGCTTACAGAATTATAATCGCTGTTAGCATTACATCGATGCTAACTTAATAGTGATTCTAAAGTATTAAATTTTTTTTTTGTAACACTAATACAAATGTGTTAATGTTTGTCAATAGTAATACAAAACCGACATCTCTCATTTGTTGTCGCAAAAAAGAATTGCTATTAACATTACATTCAAACAGTAACTATGCATTGAGAAAATGACATATTGAATAAAATACGTAATTTTTTATGTGATATCTATTTTGCTTTGAAAATTAGTCAAGAATCGTAGTATGTGTGTGTGGAGTGATTATGAGTATTGATCATGATCTTTCCTGGCTTTTACCAAATTCATGACGACGACCCAGATCCATCCAAATCTAAAAATATGTTTTGTGGCACGATTTGACATTTAGATAACTCAAATAGGCCCCGTCCCAAATCATTTGAGAATGATACGTGATTCCTAATGCCATGATTCAGTTACTAATTATCTGGCAACTAGTCCAGTCACCTATTACCAAGCAGCAGTAACTGCCAACCCGTACTTCATGATTTCAGTAGAAATCATCACATCTTCCGACGTCAAAATAGTATTGACAGAAATCGTAAAAAGTACGTGACAGTAATATTTCTATGTGTTCTTTTTCTTCTAGTTGGAGAAAGTGTAAGCCAAACAGTAAACATTGATATAAAATACATACAAGTCATATCGTCGTCGGTATTGTTTTCAAAGGAATCCGAACCATCGATTGAGTGTGGGTAAGATCTCCTATTCACTTACACCGATGCCCCACACCTGTTTCTTTTTTTTTCTTGACAACTTTCCCTTGGTTGCAATCGTCTTTAAAGCCTCCTTCTATAGAGTGTTCGTTTATTTCAAAAATGTTGCTGACAAAACGCCGATGCATAATGGATGCAATCTATGTGCATCAAGCCAGCAGCAAGGGAGAAGAACGAAACGAGCTACAATGAATGCATGGGCATCATCCATAGAAAATAAACAAAAAACAACCTTCAAAAGAACTTCAAAATATTTTCGTTTACTATAGTTTTCATTTTTTTTTTTGGTTGGCAAGCTGTTTTTCACGTAGTAAGTAAGATATTGCGTGTGTGCGCAGTTAGATCCGAAAGAGGAAAAGGTGTGTGTGCTGTGAATGTAAATGAGGAGGAGATCGACTCATAACTAAACCATACTGTCAAACAACACTCTCATCCACATTTGCATCTGGATCTGTCACACATATACTTACTATCATTACAACTTACCATAGTAACAGTCGGTGTTTTTATGGTCGAAAAACTACCTATTTAACAACGATAAATGGTCAGTTTATATATCAGGAGGTGAGCGAATGTACATAATCTCTTCAATTAATTCCACACCCATATCGCTTAATCAATGAAAACGTTCTCTCCTATCGCAACTTTCTACGTTTTTTCCAAGCAAACTTTTTCTCTTGCACAATGAAAAGAAAGATATGTGTCATAAAAAGCGAGATAAGTTCTTTTTTCATTCATTTCATCATCTTTTTTCTTTCGCTCTGACATTCGCTTAGTAAAGGTGGTGCCAGATTTCATCCACGTATGTATATATATAAAGTAAATAGCTTACTTTTTTTTATATTTCTATAGCAATATAAAGAACAAAAAATGAATATAACAAAGGTGTCGTCTTCTGGATATGTAATTGAATTTAATCGAGATACTGGTTTTGGTTTTATTCAAGAAGATACAACAAAACGAGTTTTATTAGTTCAGTTGAACAGTTTCAAGCGGCATTCAAAAAGATACATAAACAATGAAAATCAATATATTGGCGAACTATTCGATTTTGATATTATTGTTAAACAGAAGAGTGACGATGATGGCAATGATACATTGGAAGCAGTAAATGTTAGACATCGTGTACTGAAATGTAACGTTGAAGGATGTCCACGAATTAAACCATTTACAAATGTGAAAGCACTGGAAGATCATATAAATATCAGACACACTTCAAAGAAGAAAACAGAAGAAACATCTCAGTCTCCTTTAATTTTAGCTAAAAAACCAAAGAAAAAACGTCGTCCACGCCCTGAACCAATCGTAATTAGCCTATCATCTCACACAACAGCAGCTACTATTGGTCGATTCATTGGTAAACAGGGTGTTAATCTCAAACGAATTGAACAACAGAATCAAGTCAAACTTCAGCTACTCAATAGTCGAAAAGCATATAATCCTTTACAAGTTCTCATGAAACCGACTGTAGGCATTACAGTTGATATCAAATCAGTTAGTAAAAAATTAAAATTTGAATGGGAACGCTGCGTACGTGAACAGCAAGTACATGAAAATATTCGAGAGGAACGATTAAAATTAATCTATTCACCCAGGCAATCAATTGTTCTTGAATTTGAAGGCGATTCAAGATACAGAACTGACTCAAAATTTCTTTATGTCAGACAATTAAAGCAACAAGACATGTTAAGAAGAAGGATATATCGTCAAACGGAATCATCAGTAAGAGTTCAAGAACGTCATTCAAGTCTCAACCAAGAAGGACATCGTTCAGCGGCAACATGTGGCAGTGAATATAGACAGAAATCGATATTTAATTATTTTCAACCAAAGAAGATAAAGAAAAGTATGAAAGAAAAACATTGGTTGATCAATGAACAGCTACAAGCTCTAGAGTAACTTTCTAATTAATTGTGAGAAACGAATTTCACTTTTTCTGTTCTGTTATAGTAAATTGTATTTTAAGAGCACCTCAATTTAAGAAACATTGTTTTTACATTGCATACAGAAGTCGAAACAAAGCTTGATAGTTCGTGTACATAACACGACACTTCATAACTTTTGTGGGTGTGAGTGCATGTGAGAAGAACACCAACATCTCACGCTCACACTTTCATCTCACCCACGTCGAATCTTGTTAAGGAAAAATCTTTTTGCCAAGAATGTTTTTCTCTAAGTGGTCTTTGAGTAACCACACAACTTACAAGTCATTTCAACACAAAAGCACATGCCTTTGTTGAGATATACAATGTATTTTCTGTTAAAAACTTTTACAGTCTGTTTTTTAGGAGGTTTATACAAATCGAATGCATTTAGTTATCAATTTTTTAATAGAAATCTGTTAAAGATATGTTTTGAAAGCAGAAATCATACTCTATCTGATAAAAAAAAAAGAATTGACGTTTTATTGTTTTCTGTTCAAAATCAATAGAATCTAACATTTTCTCAAGAACTTTTACATCAACTGTCAATATGTTTTTCTTTATTGGTTACACGGCGTTTCCACGTGCGGCACATCCGTAAAAAATGCTTTCTTTTCTGTGTTAAGTTAATGCATTTGCTAAAGTTTCATTAAATATCTTGCGAGTGTGGCTGCAGGCTTTCGATATGGGCGTTGGAATGGAAATGAAGGGAGCGGAAACTTTACTGCTCACAGTCAAATCTTGACTACAGGTTTTCAAGATAGAGTGAACCAATTAACTTAATCTAAAACAAACTCAAATTTTATATCTAAGCATTTAGTATTGCCTTTTATTTTTTCTACTTAATCCTTAATTCACTTTAAACTGTGCCTAAGCCATCTCGTTAGACAAGCAACATATAATTTCGAATTTATCTTCAATCCAAAGAGGACACACCATAGTGTTGTTTGAGACATGTGAAAGACGACTTTACATAGCTAATCTCTAGATTGACTCAAGCAACAATAAGTTTCTGTCCTTACAGTAGAGAAGAAAAATTCTACCTAAGTGTGATCTTTCGAGAATTCATTTCTATCAACCTAATATACATTAGTTCTGCGAAATAGGCTTCTTCTATGCAGAAATCAGAAGGATAGTTTTTTAAGTAACCAACTGGCTTGATAAACTCGCAACGTTTTCTTTACCAGTTACTTGATAACCTAACGGTTACTTCCCATCGCTAGTCTGTATGATCTTATATACTTTTCTATTTTTAGTGAAATACCCAAGACTGCGATTTTTGTTATTGTTTTTGTTTTAGTTTGAATTTGTAAAAGTTTCTTGGCTTTTGATTGTATGAAATGGTTTTATTTTTGTTAATTTAGGTTTTTATAAAATGTGATTGTTGATGAATGTTGAAGTTTAAAGCAAAGATATTGAATCCAATACAAGATTACACTACACACTGTGACAAATAGAGTGATATGAAATTTTAGATTTTTTTTTCATTGTGTCCTTCTGGACTCTAAATAGGTTTTTCGATTATGAATGAGTATATATACATAATCTAGTAGTCTAAAAATCGGCTTAGCTAGTTGTAACTTAGCTCTGTCACTGTCACCCTTATAGCTGGCCGTGATCGTTATTTCTACATGTTGATTTGACAACCTGGTGAAAAACTATGATCAATAACGAGACCGTCGTTTGATATCATAAAATTAACTCTATCGTGCTTCACATTTGAACATCATAGTGATTGGATTGAAATATTTTTCGAAATTTCAAGTTTTTAGATTTATTTGAAGTTGTTCAATTCTTTTGAACTTCAGACTTCGAATTTCATTAGTATTTTTTAATTCTTAGGAGTATTTGAAATTGTAAAGTCAAAAGAAGATGAAGCTCTCATTGAAAGACGATTTTTTCGATGTTATTCATAAACTAAGACAGGCATCTCGATATCTTACTTGTGGAAATGAATTATATACTTTTATCCAAGTTAATGTCATGTCATTGCCGATTAAAATAGTTCGATTATGTTGCATATTTTAAGTATACTAGCATTCTATTTGAAGTCCTTAATCATGTTTTACGAAGTCTCGTATAGTGCTAATTCAAGCTCATCATATGCTAGACTCTTGAATCGTTAATTGATGAGCTAACAAGGATCAGCCAAAATAATGTGTTTTTACAACAGATAATTTTTCAAAATATTAATATTTATTCGATACAAAAAGATGCTCTCTCGCTCTCTCTCTTTCGAGTGATGTGTTTTTTCATGAGAAGAGATCTCTTTAGAACACTAGAATCGAAGCAAATCTGTAAAATAATGCATATTTGTTGATTCAAACAAAAAAAAAGAAAATGCTCGTTATTGTGATTAATTTGGTACACTTTCGATCGTGTCTGTCGACGGTTTCACGTGCACTTCATTTTGAATGCTTCGCCGATGTCGCCATAAAGTAAATTGCTTCATAATTAATCGATAGATTAACTCGCAGAATTCCATCAAACTTAGCCCACTAAGACCAATCCACCTTCAATTAACTCATCATAATAGAATGTTATCTGAAAAAAAGAAGTTCTTACTTACAATCCAGTTTGGCCTCCAATAGCCGAAAATGTATCAGTGAGAGTTAACTTAGCCTGTTGTTTATGTATTGTTACATATGGACTAGCACACATTACAGTCACTCGTAAATAATTAGCGTCCATGTAGGCATTATATTTTTCAGCAAAACCATCCGGTAAGGACACAGTGGAATTGTTTTCTAGCAAGATCTTTTCCCATGATGTCTTTTGTTGCGCAGTCGGCGCTGGTAATGCACTAATATCAGTCGAAAACTGTGTGTGTATACATTGTGGAGCGCATCGGGAACACCAAACAGCCATGAGAGCCACATTTACGGCGAACTGTTGCCGTGCATTTAATGCACAGTTTTCGTTCAACGTGCCTGGAAGACAAGTATTGGTGATCAGAAGTCGATCATGGTCCAGTGAGAAGACATATCGCATGAGAAATGGAACAGGCAAAATGCAAGAACATTGTGAGAAAATATAAGCTTGTTCACACAATTCGTACCATAAAGCTTCGGAGTAGGCGACCTGACGAGCCGAATTCGGATCGAAGATAACTTCGTAGATATGACGCAAATTATATCCAACTACCGATGTACAATTTGTATAAGGTTTAGGAAGGAATATTGTTTGACTTTTTCGATATGTTATTGCATGAGCGAGAGCAGGTCGTAATCGTATGCTGTTTTTAGCCTTGAATGGAAGTTCATTATTGTCATGTAAGAATAGAATAAGACCATCCTCAAAGGTTGTCAATGGAACGCTAAGATGATGTGGTATGTAAAAAACCATTGACAAGCCTTCGTGTATCGTCAATGTAGAGCCTATATCAGCTAACGTATATAATTTATTCATGGATGCTTTCCAATTGAATGTAAAGCAATTACCAAAGACTGACGATAGAGAATGAACAAAATTCGATGAGCAATTAACACCATTGTACGAGCAATCGAGTAACATATCTGATAGCTGAAATCCAAGTTTGACTAATTCATCAGACTTGTTTCGATTGAACATATCGACGAGCATGAAAAAAGCCAGCCTCTCAAAATCTGATTCATTCAGATTGATACGCTTCTCATGCACATAAGCATTTATCGCTTCGGTCATTCGGTCTTTCCTATATGGATTGGCATTGCATACGGTCACAGCCGGAAACCGCATATCACGTATGGGAATAATGTCGATGCTGATCTGTGTAGGGAAAGCAAGATATTGTAATAATTCCATAAAAATGAAATAGGACATAAAGCCAAACATCATTATAAAGGTGACAATCCAAAATGTGCGATGTACTGTATTATAGGCGATGCCGATATTGCGCAGACCATGTGTTGCAGTAGTGGCTAAATAATCGACAAGAATCGATCGCCGACGATGTTGAAGGAAGGGACGCTGCTTCGAACTACCTATTGTGTTTTCCATTGGGTGATAGAGTCGTATTTTCTGTGTTTAGACTTTAATCGTAGATGAAAAGAAATCAACTAAAATATCCGTTCAAAAACCAACCCGGCATATATATGATGGCTGAGTTCTAGCTTAACTTTAGCCTAGAGAGCTAATGCTGCCCGTTCTATATATATGTAGAATTAATATTTGTTATTTACAATCTCTCGAAGTACAAGTCAAACTCCTTCGAGCATAGTTAGTCAGGCTATTATGCTTCAAGTAAGTCACAAATTCGACTTTTATCTCGATTCAATGCTCGTACTTCTTATTTGAGTCAGAAATATTCTAACTATTTTTTCATTGAATATCAATGCGGTACTAGTCCAGAAATATACTTCCGATTGCTAATAAATATCAGCAAATTTGAATTTTTAATTCCATTATTCTGCTTCGATGAACATATAATTTGAATTTTATACTAGTATAAAGTGATTTCTTTCAATTAATAAGAATATCTGTACTAAAATAGGTAGATCAAAATGTGTTGTTCAATTGTGCGACATTACATATCAATAATTGACTACTACTGGCGTAGGACATGTGACTAACTTTTTCTTATGGATATATTCCAATCCTTGACTGTTCTAATAATGTTGATCTCGTGATCAAACATAAACATGATATCCTAAGTATTTTAATCCATAGTCTTTAATAGAAGCTGCATCAGAAAATTAATTATCATTATTCTGTAAAATAATTCTAGTTAAAAATACTCTTTAACATTTTCATTTATTATGCTTCTAGTGATTAGTATTAAAATAGAATATGAATAAAATTCTATTATCTGAATATACTTGTAGAAATAGATGTCACAAATGTAAATCTCTTTTTTATTCTTAAAACTTGCTTTAGTTCGAAACAAAATTGAATTCATCTACTATAAGTTTTTCATTAAAATAAGAATAAATCAATCGAGATCGATTTCAAATACAATTTTAGTTATGCGAAAAAAAAAAAACTATGGCACTTCGATGTTATTCATGTTTTTCCTTTTCTTCAAAACAATAGTACTCACATGGACGTGCTACTCAGGTTAACAATCCTCAAGCAATAATATAATGTCACAATCAACACTGTTCCAAGCAAATAAAAGAGCAGATGTCAATATTGAACTAATTTTCTTCTCCATAATTGAATATCAATGCAAAATACACACTATGTTGAGAGAGTTATGGAAAGAAATATGACCGTCAATTATAGGGAAACCTATCAGAAAAATAATGCCTCGATAATGAAATGTTAAAGCAGATATTGTTTTCTTTTCTTTTCTAGTTAGATCGAGTGAGACTAACTTATCAAGAATGCATGGCTTTTAATTTTTTTGAATAATTTATTTTCAGAGATTGATTCAGATTTTGCTGGATAGATTTCGATTCAGTTTGAGTAGCATCAGTCCCAGCTAGTCCAAAGTAGACGACAAGTCAAAATTTAATTCTCGAACTAGCATAAGTCTCACATTAGAATTGCTATTCGTATGAGTTAATATTAATTAACACATTTCTGAATTAAAATTATATTTTTTAAACATTAGTACGTCAGCATTAGTAGTTTTTCAGAGCTATTATTCATTTTGCACCAGTATCGACGATTATTTGTCGCAGTACAGAAAATTAGTCAAATTTAAAACAGATAAAGAAAAAAGAATAATGCTGTATAGAAGTAACTTATCACCATAAAAACAATTAATGTTACTGCTATGAAGAGAAAGCAACACTTTATAACATGGTGATTAAATTTAGAACAAAAAATAATCAAGTGAAGCTCGTTTTATCTTTATCGATACCATCATACTTTTTTTTATAAAATCAATGATGATTCAATTAATTACATTTCATTCAACACTTGACTATGTTTGATTATCGCTTCAAGAATTAGTTTGCATCGATTGGAATCGTTTTACATCTCTGATGCAAACTTTTGAGGAAACATTATTTAATTGAATAGGTTTTTCTTTTTATAAAGAAACGCAATTCTTCTTTAAGAGGAAAGCTGAGGTCGAAAATTGTCGAGATACCCAGAAAGACAAAGCATGATTTTGTATACGTTCATTAGCTATCGTTATAGGGTGTGTCTATAAGTGAGGGAAAAGTCGTCCGTACCTTTACGTACACATCCGCAACTGGATCCGCATTTTATTGTGAAATGATGTGACATAAATAAGCATTCTGTATACATGTTTGTTAATTTTTCGATAAGTTTTCAAAATATTAGGTCATTTCTTAACACGTACAACTACATTAAATAAAAAACTAAATGTGCTATTGGTTATGTACTAGCATCTTTTTCCTAAAAATCACAGCTTAGACCAGAATAAAAGCATCACAAATCAAAATAAATTAGATATTCGTCATCAGCATCGAGTTCAGCATTAAATGATGCACTTTTATTAGAATCGAAAAAGAAAACTTTTCCAACTTTTGTCGTCGAGAAAATTCAAACTTGGAGTTGCAATAGACTAAATACTCCATGATATTCAGAGTTTGATGGTTATACCAAATATATGCACACTTATGAATAAGAACAGCGTAAAATGTTGACTACAGTAGTTTAAAAACAATGATTATCGGATACTCATGAAATTTAGTAGCACAGGGGCTTCAAGAAAATAGAGGGAAAAATTAAAACAGATTTTACTCAAAATTGACATGAACGATAGAGCTTGTTGTCTTTTATCTGAAGGTGTTGTCTTTTGTTGTACAAATTAGCAAAACACATTATAAATAAGTTTTGCTACGAGACTTCATGAAAAATACAGATCGTGTATGAACATATTATTCGGGCTTGTAGACATAGGTATCGTTGTAAAACAGCGAAAAGTACAATGAGCAATTAGTTCCCATAGCAAGAGTTTTTACGCCAATTACGAAAGGCAAAATATCGTCTTCTTTATTTTTAACTGAGTAGAAAATAACATTTAATCAGATTTAAGCAATACAGAAAGGATGTGGGTGTGGGTGTTGGTATCGGTGTAAGTGAATAGAAGGTCTTACCGACACCCACGCCTACCCAATCCAATCGTCCAAGCAGGAAGTTCTAACTTATCATCAACTTCTGATTAAGATGAACTGTGGCTCTTCGAATTGAATTGAACCAAACTCAAACCAATGAAACCTGGTTTGATTGAGTTTCATTTTTCTCGATGTTGCATTACTCGTTAAAAGTTTAGTGAGATGAGTAAAGGTACAGATTTATTGGTGTGATTGTTGACAATTGTCATAAAATGTCTGTGAGATCGAGGCTGTAAAGAGGAAAATGAACTCGTAAAGATGATTATAGGACTGAAGAGAAAATTCTCACATTTAACAAACCAACGGACTCTATTGAAAAAATAACTGTTGAATTCACTGACGATTTCGAATCTGATGAACTGAAAAACACAAAAAATTATTGTATTTCTTTTATTTATTATTTTTAATACAGTCCATTTGAATAACATTTCGATAGTTTCTTATAAATCGAATAGAAATAATGATGTATCATTCAACGTCATTAGAATTTCATACTTATCTTAGATAGATTTTAGTGTCAATATGACGATTGTGAACAAATATGCTTTTGACAGTTCAGATAGTTGTATTCTTGATACTTAGAATAAGGATTAATTGTTTTATTCTCTATTTTTAAAAGGATATATTCATTCAAAAACCGTAGTGAATGATAAAGTATACTATATTCATAGACATTTTCGTTGACAATTAGGGTGAGTGTGGGGGTGGGGGTATTGGTTTTTTCTTCATCCACACCCACGCCGGTTGTTCATTCTATTCAAGACTGATGTTGATATGATGATCAACCATTTGTTTTTCTTTCATTGAAAGATTTTTGCTGCTTGAATAATAGATATTTATTTTTTACAACGCGCAAAAAGTCATAAATCTTATTTGATAGAGAATATGTTGGATAATCGGGCTAGTGGAATGTAAACTATTAATCGAACTCATCTCATTCATGGGGAAAATGCGCTTCAACTAAAGCACCGTTCCATTTAGTCCAACTAGGAATAATAACTTCTTGTTTTGAATGTTGAATGCGAATGATTTATCAAAAAGGACATTTTTTTACAAAACTGGAGTGACTATGAGATAAAATGAATATTGATACGCCTTCATACTTATGATACGAGAAAAAGACAAAATATTAATAATAAAATAATAGGAATATCTCATTGACGACAGCAATTGTGCTGCGCATATTAAAGATCAAACTGTTCATTCTGTAAAAATCGTCGAAGTTCTTTTTATGAATTTTGAGGAGCTTGAAATTCCTTCTGTATGGAAATATAGAAGAAAATGGATGTATGACACCTTTCTGAATTTCCTAAAATTCTGAAAGATTTCTAAGAA